AGAATTCAATCTTTTCTTTTCGTTCAGAATAATAATTGTCGTAGCGCAGAAAGAAATTTTTTCCCATGTCCCTAATTTTACGGGAAAAACCGGGAAATGCCAGTGAATTTTTTTTTTATTGAAAAAGTGTCCACCCTGAGTGAAATATCTAGATTTCAATTACCTTTGTCGAGTACAGACAGACTTCCTGAAGAATGAAAGAAAAAACTCGAATAGTTTATAATAATTCATTAGTTTGTGTGATAGAGCGAAAAATGTTATTTCTGATGAGTGACAACGCCTTTTCGGTTTGGGTCTCTCTCTCTCTTTCGCTCTTTATTATTTTTTTTTTTTATTATCGCGAGTAGTAAGTTTGCGCCGGAACAGAAGTCACGGTTTGCTGCATTCATGTTTTGCCAGTGACGACCATTGTTTGGGCCCGTGCGAACGGCAGCAAGATGCACAAATAATATTCGTGCCTGGCGATAAATAATATGAGGGTCGAAATAAGCGACCCACGACTGGCTTGGCGCCACTTGAAAGAACGCAGGTGCCTTTCATGCCTTTTCAACATTCTACTTCTTCTTTTTATACTGTAAACAATTAATTTTTATCTTCCATTCTACGTCAAGCATTCATGAATTTTTTTTTTTTTTTTTTTTTTTTTTTTTTTTAAAAAGAATATTTTACTACTAATAGGATCGTCGTTTAAGCGTTTAATACAGCTTAATGGTAGTATTAATTCATAACTTGGATGATAAATGATAATCAAATAAATTTTTCCCCAGTGTAAATATTAATATTCCCTTAAAAAAACAAAAACAAGATAATTTTTACAGGGTTCGAACAGCCAGTGAAAGTATTTAAAAATACGGTCTTTACGGACCAATAATAAAAAATTACGGATCCTTTACGGACTAATTAATAAAAATCAGTCCGAGTCGAATAAGAGAACATTAAAATTATAAATTTTAAGTAAGTTTTACGGACTTGAATAAGTAAATTTACGGACCTAGTTTTCGAGCCCTGTTTTTAACGTTCAAAAATATTGCAAATGACAAAAAAAAATGCATACAAAAGATAAATGATAGGAAGGTGCAAGGAGAGCATTGCAGGGAGAAAAGCAGGAAACAAAATGAGCGAAGAATGGGAAGAAATAAAGACTATTTTGTAACTCTTAAGATCGAGTGAACATTCAAAAAGATTGTTTTACTCTGCTTATCATGAGAAATGCCAGCCGTTTATAAAACGATGCAAAGAACGAGAGAAGAACGGGACCACCGGGCGCGTAGGTGGTCCCTGCAAGTAGGGAACACGGAACACAGTGACAGAACGAAATGTCCCATCCTTAAATGGCAGTTTGAAACTTTGTCTCTATACATATAATACAGCATTGCGCAAAAGATCCTCTGTTCTTGTTCACGCACATCATGCGTATAAAGCATTGCTACATTGTACATTTAAATTTCATTTCATTTAAAACACCATTTCAGTTTCTACTTTTTCTACATCAAAATATCATTCTTCATTTTCGGGGAACATTTCTTCATTTCTGGAAGTTTAGTTTCTCTCGCACTTGATTCAAAACTATAAACTAACCACGAAACTTTCTAAAGTAATCCACTCGAAATTACACTATAAAAAAACTCTAGTTTAAAAAAAGTTTAACTCCAAACTTCGGAAGTAATCTCCTTGAAACTGTTTAAAACAACTCTAGTTAAAATAAATAGAAATTCTTTGTTATTCTAACCGGAATGAAATTTTAAATACAACCTTATACTGCATTTTCTGGTTAAAAGTATATTAGAAAATCTGGTTAAAAATATCTAATTAAATTTCTGGTATAAAATTAGAAATCAGAATTTGTTTTCAGGGTTCTTTATTCTTTTCTTGAAATTTTCCTTTATTTTTATTAAATTCAGAGTTGTCAAAAAAATTTAATTTCCAGACAGAATTTAGACTTTTTCCCCTGACACTAAAGAATATTCTGCGGTTCACTCTAAAAATTATTAGAGAATTGAAAAAAATGTTCTAATACTTTTAATTGCAAATTTTTCTAAAAGGAAAATTATTCTAAAACATTAACTTCATTTTTAAATAAATATTTAATTATTATTTTTCCATAGGAATTAAAATTCCTCAAAATATTCAAATTCAAACCTTTTTGAAATTCAACAACTCTAGAAATATTGTTATAAAACAAGAAGAAATCGTTCCCCCAAATTTTTATGTTTTATAAGGATGACCGAGTGATAAAATTATTATTTTCTATGACAAGAATATAGTTACTGTAAACTCCTTCAAAATTATTATCATTACAATTAAATTCTTATTTTCTAGAATTTTCCACTAAAATTCTTCTTTAAATCAATTACATTTTAATCATTTTTGAAAAAGTTTTTTGAGAATAATTTTCAAATCCATTTGTTTAAAATTCAATTAAATGAAATTTCAAAAATTAACGAAATTCTCGGAAATTCTGCAATTAAATATATATTAGAAAATAAAAACTTGAAATAATTTCAAAAAAAAAATTAATTCTATAGAATTACTAGGGGAGAGTCTCCAGTTGTGAGACGGGTTTCATTTTTGACCCGTAAATTGTAAACGGGTAAACGAAATTGTAAATAAAATACACAGTTCGAAAGGTAACAGAAATACGCAACTTTTATTAAAAGAAAGTATAGTGTTTCGATGAACTCAAAAAATTTTACGATACATTTTCCGAGCACATCGCTTTTTTTCAAAAAAAAAAATGTCTCCAGTTGTGAGACACTCATTAAAAATTGCTAAAATTTAATAAGTTTGACATAAAACGTTATGTTTAGTAGAAATAATTAAATATATTAATAATATATATTATTATATACTAAATAATAATATTTATTTGCCAAAATATGACTATCAAATAAACACAATTTAATAGCTTCAACAAGAGCATTAAAATTGATTTCTTCTGAATCAATTGACTTTTTTCCACTTGACATGCCCAAAAATACTAGAAAAAAAATCAAAACAACATTTAAATAGTATGCCTGCAAAGTCGTATTTTTTATGCTGCCCAGATGGGTGTTGACACCGTCTCACAACTGGTGATATGCTGCGTCTCACACCCAGAAATTGGCGCTATTTTGAAAAAGGAAAATTAAATTATTTTCAACCGTAGATTGGAACAATGCAATATTGCATCACAAAATATAAGGAAAACACTAAAAGAAAATGCATTACATTTACCTTTTTCAATTAATTAACTTGGAAAAAAAGTACTTTACATTTATTGAAAAAACGCTTTTTAGTCGATTATCACACACAGTGTTGGTATTTAACAAAAACAGTTTATATATCCGCTTCGGCGTACACGAAAAAGTTGGCTCATATAAAAAGAAATGTTTTTATATAAACCAATCGGCTTTTTAATATTGCATGTTAAAAAAAATTGACTGTCTCACAACTGGAGGTGTCTCACAACTGGAGACTCTCCCCTATAGTTAACAGTATGAAAAATTCAAATTTTCAAAGATTTTAATTTGAAACCCTTTCAGAATTCAATTATTTTCTAAAAATTCATGCAATAATTCGTTTAATATTTAATTATTATCTAAAATTTTAACTAAAATTCATTTTCAAATCAATTTTTATTATTAGAAAATTCTACGAGAATTCAATTATTTAAATAAAAAAATTAATAATCTAATTAAATAATTGAATGTTTCATAAAATTGGATTTCTTGATAAAATTGTTTAAGAGAATTTTATTGACAAATTTTTTAAACATTTGAATTATTTCGACGAATTTTAATAAAATTTTTAAGAATAATTAAATGTTTTCGAGGAATTCAATTAAAATTATCTTACCCAAAAATAATTGAAATTCTGCAAATGAGTTTTATTAATTCAGAAAATAATTGAATTCTTAAACAGAATTTTATTATTTATGAAAATAATTGAATTATTGCAAAAAAATGTATAAATAATTTGTAAATAATTGAATTCCTGTGAAATTTTTATTATTTATGAAAATAATTAAACGTTTGCGTAGAATTTTATTAAAATTTGTTTTAAATAATTGAATTCTTTTGAAAAACTTTTTTAAAATGGTAGATATTGAAAATTTTTTCCTGACTCTTCCCTGAAATAAAAACCTATTCTACTAGAATTCAATTACTTAAATGCACAAATAAAGGATTTATTTAGTATTTGAATGTTTCGTAAAATTCAATTCTATTAAAGAATTTTATCAAAAAATTTTTTAAATAATTTAATTTTTTAACGAATTTTAATTAAATTTTTAAGAATAATAACATTTTTCGAGGAATTCAATTAAAATTGTTTTAAAAATAATCTCTGCAAAAAATTTTATTATTTGAAAATAATTGAATTTTTAGTATTTATAATAAAATAATTAAAATGTTTTCGAAGAATTTGATCATAATTTTTTTTAAATAATTGAATTCTTTTAGAAAATTTCATTAAAACATTAGACATTGAAAATCATTTAATTAGGTGAGAAAAATTTTTGAAAATAAATAAATAATTGAAATTATGCTAAGAATTTTATTAAAAATTTTTGAAAATAATTGAATTTCGGAGAAAAATTTTATTATTTATAAAAATAATTGAAATTTTGACGAGAATTGAAATTTTTTTTTGAAAATAATTGAATTTCTACGAAGAGATTTAAAATACTTTTGAAAATACTTGAATTTTAGAAATTATTTGTAACTTTTCCAAAATTCAATATTTTTGAGTGCTTTTAACTAAAATTCTTCTATAAATTCATTATTTTTAATAATAATTTAAATATGTATTAAAAAATTTATCTAATTTCAGAAGAATTTGAATTATTAAAATTTTTTAATAATCTAAGTTTTTTAAATTGTCTAATAAAGTATTTTTGGGATTAAATTTGCAATCTAAAAAAATTGAAATTTATTATAATTCTATAATTAATAAAAAATGAAATCAATCCAAATTTTAATCTACAAAAATTGAAATTAATTGGGATAATTTTTTGTTTACAGGATGGCAAAAGGCTTTTCATTGGAGCTCCAGGAAGTTGGTACTGGCAAGGTAATTTTTATTTTTGATTTTAATTATTTTTTAAAATTAATTTTCTATTTTAGATGAATTTACGTGTGCAGTCTATTACTTTATCTACATTTCATTTTTGAACTCGACTGCGTAAAAATCGTAAATAATCATTAATGATATTCCTTCATTACAACTGCTAATTCGATATAACTGAAATTTAAATTTTCTAATTTTTAAACTTAAAGAACAATCAAAAGAATTATAACAGTAATGCAATAATTATAAATTATGAATGTAATATTATATAGTTATTAATCATTAGAAAAATTCTAATATAATAATTATAATATCTAATTATAAGAATTAGAATAATTTCGTTATTTTTCCACACATCGTAAAATGAAAATAGTGTTAAGTTTGTAAAAAATAAATCTATAATCAACCTTCAGGTATTAATTTTCAATAAGACAAAAAATGGGAGAACTGATAAAAATGATTTGTAAATAATAATAATAATAGTGTGAAAATATTAGAAATATTTTTCTTAAACACTTTTCAGGTCAGCTGTACTCGATGGACAGTCAAACCAAGTTCGAATTTTGCCCTGACGATACCCGATTAGGTGCTTTTCAAGGTACCATGAGTTTTCAGGTCCTCCCCTGAGTTATTATTGCTTTTTTTAAATTCCCAACCCTAAATTAATTTTTGATTTTTTCTTCATGATAATTAAAAATCATTTTCACATTAACACGTAATTCTCGATATTTGATACATGTCAGTGAAAATGTTATGATGATTTTTACAAGCATGCTGATATGTCGACTATTACAAACAGAAGTTCCCATTTCTACCCTTGTTACTTGCTTGGCAGTGATGCTTATTAATTAATTAATTATTTATTAACTTTATTTATTTATTTTTTCTGTTTTTTTTAATAATTTATTTATAATTTTTCATTTGTTTATTTGCAAATGTTACACGAGCAAAAAGTGCGATATTCAATTTATTATTATGCAAATTACATTTTTTATTTTCAAATATGAATTTTTGAATAATTTCAGACTCAAACTTTAAAAAAATTCAATTACTAACTAATTTACTAATTAGTTATTTTTGTTTATTAATTTAAAAAATGTTAATTTAAAAAAAAAATCAATTATTTTCTAAAATTTTAATTAATTCTTCAAAACAATTCAATTACATTTATAAATAGAAAAATTCTTTGCAAAAATTCAATTATTATCAAAAAAATTCAATTTTTTCTTAATTCGTTATGAAATTTTTTATAAGAATTCAATTATTTTCTAAAATTTTAATAAATTCTTCGAAAAAATTTAATTATTTTTAATACAATTTTAATAATATTTCGTGAAACAATTCAATTTTAAAAAAATTTTTAATAATATTTTTCGAAAAAATTAAATTATTTTATAAAATTTCAATAAATCCTTTAAAACAATTCAATTACATTTAAAATAGTAAAATTCTATGCAAAAATTCAATTATATTGAACATTTAACGAAACTTCAATTTTTAAATTTCAATTTCACAAAAGAATTCAATTTTTTTCTTAATTCGTTATAAAAATTTTTCAAAAGAATTCAATTATTTCCTAAAATTATAATAAAATTTAATAATTAAATGTTTAATTTCAATTATTAACAAACTCGATTATTTTAAGAACTTAAAATAAATTGTTCATAAAATTAAATTATTTTGAAAATTTGTAATTCAAATTATTAAAGAAACTCCATTATTAAAAAAAAAAAAATTCAAAGAAATTCTTCAAAAAGAATTTAATAATTAGAATTATCAAAAATTCTTTGCAACAATTTGATGATTTTTAATAAAATAATTTGAAATTTGAAAATATTTATAAAAAAAAATTTTTTTCAATTTACGAAACAAAAATTCTTTTAATTTAATTATTCATAATTTTTATTCAGTTTTTATTTTGAAGAAATGAAAGAAAATTCAACGTAATTAACAGCAATTTTTTAAAAATATTTTCTATGTTTTTTGGAGAGTTTGTGTTTTTTATTTATCAGTAACTGTTGAGTGTTTACGTTGTTTTTTCATTAACTAAATCTGAAGCTAATGGGAATTATTATAATTTTTTTACGATTAATTATTATTTTATTATTTTTATTTATTTATTCGTATTATTAATTATTATTAATTAATGTTATTATGAATTATGAATTCAATTTTTTATTTATAATTGTTATTATGAGAGTCTTATTTTTTTACTTTAATTTAATAGCATTTCGTTTATTTATTTATTTATTGTTTTTTTATGTACAATAGAAAATTTAAAATAATAAAAATAAATACATTATTTCTTGCATAGTATTTTGTTTTTCTTTATTATTTTTTGTTTAATGAGTTTGTAACTTTGTGTAATAATTGAATATTTAATGAAATGACTGCCAGGTGAGCCAAAGGGTGGCAATATCTAACAGGTGTTGGCGTGCTTATTACAGCTTCGTGCGTCAAAAGCAGTGCTGATTAACAAGAGGAGAGCAAGAGATGATCCTTCTCGTCACCACCAATAATACTTTAATAATTATAATATCATAATAGTGTTGTCATTAATAATACCACATTAAACAAAAAATTCCATTACGATGTCGAGACCAACATCGGAGGCTATATTTAGTATTAATTTTATTTAATTAGATTAATGCCTATAGTGAAGAAGAGTATATTTCAAGTGCATATAAATTAACATATTTAATGCTCCTGGTGCTATTTAGTTTTTAACAAAATTATATGTATACGATTGATTTCAGTAAATTTGCTTTTTGCAAATATTTTATTATTAATTTTATAATACGTCAAAACTAAAGAGTTAAAATGCTTTTAGTTTTTTTTCCATTTGAATTTACACTGAGAAACATTTTTTTTATTCCAAAAATAATAAGAAGACAATCAAAAAAATATGAAATTTTGTAACTGATTTAAATGTACCTAATTTTATTGAATCAAAATTATTATGTTTCACACAGGGCTCGAATTAGGTCCGTAAAAATTCAATTATTTTCAAAAGTAATAAAATTATTAGCAAAAATTCAATTATGTTCAAAAATTTTTCAAAAATTTTTCAAAAATCATCATCAAAATTGCAATTATCTTTAGAAATAATTAAATTCTTCTCCGAAATTCAATTATTTTCAGAAATTTCCTTAATTCAATGACTTTCAATATCTACTATTTTCATAAAATTTTCTAAAAGAATTCAATTATTTTTAAAAAAATGTAATAAAATTCTACAGAAACTTTTAATTACTTTCAAAAAATAACAACATTTTTACAAGAATTTCATTATTTACAAATTTTTTTTATAAATTTCTTCGCGATCATTCAATTATTTTCATAAATAATAAAATTTTTTCGGGAATTCAATTATTTTTGTAAATAATAAAACTCTTTTTAGAAATTCAATTATTTTCAAAAATTTGAATAAAATTCTTTGCAAAATTTCAATTATTTTCAAAAATTTTCTTTAATTCAATGATTTTTATTGTCTAAAATAACGATTCTTTATGGGAATTGAATTTTAAGAAACATTCAATGATTCAATAAATTATTTTGTATTTGCATTTTATTTGTATGTAAATAATTGAATTCTCTTAGACTTTTTTAATAAAAATTGATTTAAAAAAGAATTTCAGTTAAAATTTTAGATAATAATTGAATATTAATTAATAATAGAATTTTTAGAAAATAATTGAATTTTGAAATTAATTTTCTTGAAAAAGTTTGATTGAATTTTTTTAATATTATTTGAAGTTATTATTATTTATTTAAAATTTAATTCTTCTCAGAAATTCAATTATGTTTAAACAAAAAATTCTCGTAATAGTTTCAATAATTTTTAAAAGTAATAAAATTCTTCTCCAAAATTTAATTATTTTCAAAAGAATTAAAATTCTTCTCCAAAATTATTCAAATATTTTCCAAAAATTTTAATAAAATTCTTAGCAAAATTTCAATTATTTTTAAAAATTCTCTTCTCAGAAATTCAATTATGTTTAAACAAAAAATTCTCGTAATAGTTTAAATAATTTTTAAAAGTAATAAAATTCTTCTCCAAAATTTAATTATTTTCAAAAGAATTAAAATTATTCTCCAAAATTATTCAAATATTTTCCAAAAATTTTAATAAAATTCTTAGCAAAATTTCAATTATTTTTAAAAATTATAAATAATAAAGTTCATCTCCAAAATTTATTTATTTTCAAGAATTTTAATAAAATTGAATTAATAAACAATACAAAATAAAATTTTGTTAAAATTTCAATTATTTTCAAAAATTTTCCTGAAATTTTATGATTTTCAAAATCTACTATTTCAATAAAGTTTTCCAAAAGAATTCAATTATTTACAAATTTTTTATAAATTTCTTCGAAATTATTCAATTATTTTCATAAATAATACATTTTTTTGGAGGGTTTCAAATAATTTTTATAAAGAATAAAATTCATCGCAGAGTTTCAATTATTTTTAATACAATTTTAATCGAATTCCTCAAAAAATGTAGTTTTAAAAATTTATTGATAAAATTATTGTTTATGAGAATTTAATTTTAAGAAACATTGAATTATTCAATAAATTATTTATTTTTGTATATAAATATTTGAATTCTCGTAGAGTTATTCCTTAATTTCAATATTATTTTAATAAAATTCAAAGTTTTTTGAAAATAAAGAAATAAAAATGTTTATAAATTTTATTTGTCAATTCGAAAATTTAATTGAAAATGAAATTGAAACTTTCTGAATTTTTAGAATAAAAAGGAAAAAATTTTATTGAAAAAAATGTTCTGTTAAATTTATTAACGAATATCTATAATTGTAAAATTATTCGAAAACAATAATTTTTTTTTAAATATTTAATTATTATTATTTCTCAATAGAAATTTAGATTTTCAAAAATTTCTTTAAAAATATTGTTATAAAACATGAAGATAACGATCACTCCGAGTCGAAAACTCGGAGTTATCGATATCTTCATGTTATATAGTTATGGAAAAATTTAATTTAATTTATTAATTAAATTCAAAAAATTTAATTATAATTTTAAGTAAAATGTTCTCTTATTTGACTCGGACTGGTTATATTTTTTTTTTTATTCGGAAATGGTCCCTAATTTTTTATTTTTAGTCCGTAAAGTCCGTATTTTTAAATACTTTCACTGATTCGAGCCCTGCATACAAAAAAATAATTTTTTTGGTCGACTGTATTACAAAGATAATTATCTTTTTATCTTAATTTTATGTTTGCTTCAATGATATTGTTTTCTCAGTGTATAACATGAAATAATGTGTGATTTTTTTGTCATGGTTTAAATTGAAGTTCTGCGAGATTAGAGAAAGAAATAAAATTTTCTAACAAATATTTTTTCCTTGTTTTCATTTAGAGATGAATATTTAATAATAAATGTGTAGTTGTATAATTTAATGTATTTGCAATTGATTCACAGGGCAATTGTATTCATATAATGGATTGGACAATCGCACAAAAGTTTTAATGACGAAAGAAGGAAGCCCACAAGACGATGACAGCTATATGGGATATTCAGTAACTTCCGGAGATTATCAAGGAAATGGAAAAAGTGATGTTGCTGTTGGAATTCCACGTGGGAACAATTTAATGGGACAAGTAGGTATATCAAGTGTATAGAAAACTGCATTTCAAATTTTAAATTCAGAAAATTTTATTTTCGAATAAGAATAAGAATGAAAGTAAAGAAAATTTAATTTTTGAATAAGAATAAGAATTGAAAGTAAAAAATTTAATTTTCGAATAAGAAAAAAAATGTCCTTAAAAATATTGGTAACTAATTTTGTGAAACTTTTGTTTGTCGATTATAGGTAGCTTTATTTGATTCGCAAATGAAAAACTACAGAAATATCACTGGTGAACAAATGGGAGGATATTTTGGCTACGCTCTGGCTTCCGGCGATATTAATGGAGATGGATTCGATGATCTGATAATTAGTGCACCAATGTTTACATTACCTGGCAATTTAGAAGTCATCGAGACGGGAAGAGTTTATATTGCTTATCGAGCTGTTAAACCGAACGCCATATTCGACAAGAAAGATTTTCGGTAAATTATTCAGTAGAAAAAAAAATATTCAGACTTATCGACAAAACGCTATTTTTTAAATCTTTTTTATATTTTTCACTATTTAAATTTATTTTATTTATTTATTTTTAATTAGAGCTAATTTTATTAAAATTTCAATATTATTTTAATATTTTAATTTTATTTTAACATTATTATTTTATTTTAATATTATTTTAATATTATTTTAATTTAAGATTTGAATATTAATAAAATGACTTTCTTGAATGTTTGTTCTTTTCTTCAACTATCGATTGCAAAGCCTGAGAATCTAAAACGAAAACAAGATGCAGATGAGAATGAATAATTGTTATTTTTCTTCGCAGGGACGGAGAATTCAATAGGGGTCGATTTGGTCTCTCCTTAGCCTTCCTGGGTGACACTGACCATGATGGTTACGGAGATATTGCCATCGGTGCACCATATGCTGGCCCAGAGGGTCGAGGAGCAGTTTACATTTATCGTGGTTCAAAGGAAGGCCTTCAAGAGAAATACTCCCAAGTGATTTTCGCAACGGAACTTGAAGAATCACTCGCAACTTTTGGCTTTTCAATTGCCGGCGGCCAGGATCTGGATCAAAATACTTATCCCGATCTGGTAGTAGGAGCGTACGATTCAGATGCCGCGATATTTTTCAGATCCCGACCTGTAATTCGAGCAGACTGTAAAGTTGAATACTTTTTCGAGCGTCACTCCAAATTATCGGGAATAAATCTCGACAATAAGGACTGTGCAATTAGAAGAGGCAGCGAAAGAGTGTCGTGTCTCTTTTTAAAGGTCTTCCTGAAGTACGATGCCGATTATGCCCATCAGACTTTTGATATTGAACTGATTCTTGATCCAGTCAAGACGAAAAATCCAAGAATGTTCTTTATTGAGCAGGAGGGAAGGAACGTGATGACTATCAAGAATGTCACTCTCGAACGCAAAGTACAGTGGACTAGAATTTTCCGGGTGAGTACGGAGTGAAACAAGTAAATTCAATACAAAAAAAAATTTAATATAAATATTTTCTTAGATAAAAAATTATTCAGTTCTTAATTAACTTTGGTCAAATTTTCAATATCTATGATCAACGTTATAGAAGAAAAAATATTTTTCTAAGCAAATTTTTGTAAACTTTTGTACAAAAGAAACTGGCTTCGCACTCATCTACTAAAACATATTATTTACTACTTTTTTACAATTTATTATTTGAATACATTGTTTACATTTGTGAAACTAAAAGATACTATTTTTTTGGAAAATGTACACTACTTTAATTTAAATCCACAAGGAGTTGAAAAAAAATTAATCTTACAAAATTTGATAAAAATGCAAAAAATTTTGAGAATATTTTTGGGCATACTTGCATTTATTTTCACAAGTAATAAAATTCTTCGCTGACATTCAATTATTTTCAATATCATCTACTATTTAAAAAACAGGAATTCAATTATTTAAAATATTTTTATAAAATTGTTTAAAAAGAATCAATTATTTTCAAAGATTTTCGTTACATTTTTCTATACGAATTCAATTATTTTCATAAATAATAAAATTCTTCACAAAAATTCAATTTTTTTCATAAATAATAAAATTTTTCACAAGAATTCAATTATGTATTTTCAAAAATAATAAAATTCTTCACAAGAATTCAATTATTTTCAATACAATTTTAATAAAATTTCTCGAAAGATTTCAATTATTTTTAAAAATTATATATCATATTTCGAAAGAATTGAATTAATTCCAAAAGTTTTACTAAAATGTTTCATAAGAATTCAATGATTTTTCGTTATTTTAAAAAAAATTGTAATAAAATTTTGGACAGAATTCAATTATTTCCAAAAAATTTTAATCAAATTCATTAATCAAATTTTTAATTTCAATTATTAACAAACACGATTATTTTCAAAATTTGAAAGAAATTTTTCGTAAAATTCAATTATTTAAAAAATTTCCAATTAAAATTATTAAATAAGGCAAATTATTAAAAAAACTACGTTACTTTCAAAAAACTTAAAGCAATTCTTCAAAAAGAATTATATTATTTACGAAAACTTTAATAAAATTGTTTAAAATAATTGAAATTTTCATGAACAATTTTAATTGTTAATTACAATTTTTAAAAAAATTGACTACATTCAAAAAATTTTAAAAATTCTTGGAAAGAATTTAATTATTGTCAAGAATTTTAAATTATTATTCTTCGAAAGAATTCAACTATTTTCAATGTTTTAATTAAAATATCTATTTGAATGAATTCAATTTATTTAGAAAAAATTGTAATAAAATTCTGTGAAAAATTTAATTATTATCTAAAAATTGTTATAAAATCCAATAATCAAATGTTTAATGACAATTATTAAGAAACACGATTAGTTTAAAAACTTGACAGAAATTCTTCACAAAATTCTATTATTTGAGAAATTCTTAATGGAAATTATTAAAAAAAACTTCATTATTTAAAAAAAAATTCAAAGAAATTCTTGAAAACAATACAATCATTTTCGAAAATAATAAAAGTTTTCACAGAAATATAATTATTTAAACAATACTTTATGACATTCGTTACAAGAATTAAATTCTTTTCGTAAACAATAAAATTCTTCAAAGGATTTAAATTATTTTTAATAAAATTTTTAATAAATTCGATAAAAAATGTAAGTATTCTTAAAATTTCTATTAAAATTTTTCGAAAGAAATCATTGCTTTTGAAAAATTTGGATAATATTCATTGTAACAATTTAATAAAAAAAAAATATTCATTTGTTTCATTAATTATTAATTTTTGTATTTAAATAATTGAATTGTAGAACTTTCCAATAAAAAATAACTTGAAAATGAATTTCAGTAAATAGGTATTTTTGATAGTAATTGAATATTAGAAGCTTTCTTTTAGAAATAATTTTTAGAATTTTTAGAAATAATTAAATTTTAAAACAATTTTGAAATTGAAATCTTTGTAAATTTTAATAGTTCTAAAACCGTAAAAATATTTAAACATTAATTTATTATTTTTTCTAAAAAATTATTAAAGTTTTGAGTAATTTTATTTAAAAATTAAAAAAAATAAATTTAAAATTTAAAATTTTTAAATTAGTCTTTTGAGAAATTGTATTTAAATTTTATGATAGTTAAATTCCAGTAAAAATTTTAAGAAATTATTTATTGATTTTTGTTATTCCTGCAATTAATTGGAAATTTTGGGAAATTTAATTGAAATAAATTGTATATTTTAAAGAATTTTATTTTTTGCTCTTAAAAATTATTTTTTTATAATTCTAACTGAAAATTTGGAAAATAATTGAATTTTAGAAGAATTTAGAATTGTAGTTATCAGGATAAGAAACAAAGTGAATATTTTTCATGAAAATCAGGAAATGGAGAATAAAATTTTTGTGATTTTCATAAATCAGACGAATTTTTTTAGTTAAATTAAATTTTCCAATAGCAACTTTTTTACTTATTTTCAGCTTACTACTTTTTTAAAATTAATTATTGAGTGCGAAGCTTGATGAAACTTTCTTGATCAATTATTTATAAAAAAATTTTAAATATTTTTCTTGCAAAAAATATAAATTTGTGAACTTAATAATAATTAAGATTTGATGTCTTAATTATTTTTTTCGTCTTATTTACTTATTTTCTTTTCAGGTTTACGTAACTCCTCACATAAGGGACAAATTAACAGGCATTGATGCCGAGGCTCGTTTGACTCTCTCCGAAAATCGAGAACCAGATCTACGACGTCGTAGTCCCGACATGCCATTGCGTCCAGTCTTGGCAGAAACAACTTCCTTGAAAGACTCAATTTACATTAGGAAAAATTGTGGCGAAGACAACATTTGTATTCCCGATCTTCAATTGTCGACAAGTGCAAGTGTTGAGAAATATCTCTTGGGCTCTGGTCAAGACTTCCACATAACAGTCACTGTCAAGAATTTAGGCGAAGATGCATACGAAGCAATGTTCTACCTTCAACTCCCACCACACGTGCAGTACATCAATTTTGAGCAATTTAACAACACCGGCGTTCTCGTTCAATGTTTAGCTCCAAATCAAAACAATGTTCTACGTTGTGACATCGGTAATCCAATGCCTAGGGGTAAAATGGTAAAATTCAAAACAATTCTCGAACCAATTGTCGCCGAGAATATGAATGCGACATTCGACTTTAAAATGGAAGTGAATACGACAAATTCGGAAAATTCTGGTACAATGCGCGATAATTATGAGGCAATTAAAATACCCGTTTGGGTTGATCTTGAACTTGTCGTCGAGGGTGAAAGTCGACCGAAGGAGTTGTTCTACAATCCGGAAAATTACACTTCGGAGAATATTACCACGGACATTGAATTTGGACCGGCGATTGTTCACAATTACACGGTGAGAAATAATGGACCTTCGAATTTCTTGAGTGCTGACGTATTTGTCACATGGCCGGGTAAAACACTAGGCGGTGATGATCTGCTTTATCTGATGGAAGAGCCGCAAGGAACGATTAAGTGCGTCAATGCGGATTACAATTATCATCATCTCAAGTACACGGACGCGACTAGAACTCGTTATTCTTCCCTGTATGGTACTTCGGGATATCATCATCAACATTATCAGGAAGATTTTCATTCCGGTGGTATTGCCGTTCAGAAAGGTTACGATTCTTCGGACGATAGACGAAGAATTGAGGTCAATACCGGCGATAGTTCGGAATTCAATCAAATAAGACACTCTGCAAATCGTAATGATAATTCACAAGGATTTGGACTTCCGCTCGGTAGCGACGAAGAGAAGAAAATATTTGTCACTTCCGAGAGTTCGAGAAATTTCGATATTAATTCTGCGGGTTTTGGAGGTGGTTATCATTCGACTTTACGAGAGAACAATAATGATTCGAAACAATTTCGGGATTATTCCTACGGACAGAGGAAGATGAGTACGAGTTCCACGGGTAGTTCGAGTTTTGATATGTTGAAACAACAGGAGATTGAGAAACAAAGGGCGGAATTGGAGGAGGAGAAGAGAAAGTTGTATGAAGAGAAGAGGAGATTCGATGAATTGAAGAGGATCAATGAGAAGAAATTAGCGGAGGAGGAGAGGATAAGACAGCAGGAGAGGGACGATGAGGAGGACTATGATTACAATTCAAAGGGAAGTTCGGGAACGGTTTATGGAACGGAGCGTCATTTTGGTGAGGATAGAGAGGAAGTTCGACAAAAGGGATATGGAGTTATAACAAATTCTCGATACGATGACGAAATAAGTGGCGATCGGGAGGAAGTGATTGGAACTTCGGATATTAATTTACGAATGCGGAATATTAGCTCCACACAGGATCTTGAGCAGTTCTTCTCTGATATATCGAGAGGCACTTACAAGGTGTCAGCGTACAGAAGACATGGGAAGAATTTCATTAACTTTAGAGGGAGAATGGGCACAACGAAAAGTGGGCAAAAGTGTATGGTATTCCAGGACGGTACTCAATTCCCTCTCGAGGATAATTTCGGACAGAGAATATTGTCCGATCCTGGCAGTCCAGTGAGTCACAGATTCGGTCCCGTCGAGGGTGAACTTATCGCCGGACCTGGAAATAAAGCTTACATTCAATTGAGCAATGGCAATAGATTCGCTCTCGAAGGATTTTCCACTTACTCCAGTATTAGGACCTATAGTTACACTAGCTCCCCACAGGAAACTCATTCCTCGTTCGACAGCAATCCTTATCAAAACGGACAAGTTTACGGACACTCCGGACACTCGTCAGGCAGCTCTTGGCGAACAGAGTCCTCGACTTCCAACAGAGACGTCGGCGAAGAATTTCAAATGCACAGTTCTCAGAGTCACGAGGAAAGGCGCACCAATGAGAAGAGAATTCAATCCAAGGTTTACACGAGGAATAGTGAAACTCCCGCTAGAGATAGTTGGATGAATCCTCATTACGAATCACATGAGCGAAACGTTAGACATAGACGTGAAGCAGAACAAGGTTTGCCGACGACGACGACGACGAGCGAATTGGATCCAGTGACTCATGATATTACCAAAAATCCCTGCAAGCGAGCCAGTTGTTTCCAAATAAAGTGTGAATTGGGACCTTTGAAGAAAGGAGAGGAGGCTCATTTGAGTTTGAAGTTCAGAATCAAAGCGGCTACTTTGAAGAAAGTTGCGTACAGGGAGCCTATTCAGGTTTCAACTCAAGTATTGACGAGAATAACGAGATTCGCTGCTCTTAATAATGTTGCCGAGCAAAATGTTAAGAGTCAGGAAGTATTTACGAATGTTGAACCTACAGCACCTCCTCCAGTAGCAGACGTTGTGCCACTTTGGGTTGTTGTTTTGTCTGCCTGCGCTGGTGTCGTCATTTTATTGCTGTTAATATATTTACTTCATAAGGTACAATATTTTATTTATTCTTCAATTTTTATTATTATTTATTTATTTGTTAAAAATATAAATCATAAAAAATTGTTATAAAACATGAAGATATCGATTGCTCCGAGTCGAAGACTCGGAGTTCCTGTAAATATAATCTATAATTTTTTGCCACACGTAAAATCGATATTTCTCCGGAAAGTGTCATATATATTTATAAATATTATAAATTATTTGAATAATAAATTAAAATTACCTTTTTTTGTTTTTTCAGTGCGGATTCTTCAAGAGAAATAGACCCACAGACGCCCCAGAAAGACAACCACTAAATCGAAATGGCCATTTCCATGGGGATGATCACTAAGCTCTTTGATTTAGAAAACCGAAACAGTGCCTTTAAATGTTACTCATAACGAAGAGTAATTAATTGGCACTTTTTACACAATTACTAAATCATTTGCTCTTTGTAACAAGCACAAAAATTATCATTCTATACCTTCTTATTTTTTCCATTATTTCAAAAACAGTTTGAGAATAATTTGCGAAAATGTGAATGTGAAGGTATTGTTGCCAAATAGAAATTTAATTGGCAATCAATTTGTTTTCCAATAATATTGTTAATATATATTTACACATATATAATTAACAACAAAAAAAGAACTTTTTAAAATTGTGTAACACCTGCAAGAAAAACGTTTCTACTTTTCTGTACAGTTCAGTATTTTCTGTTACCGACAGAGCGGACAAGTAACTCCATCTAGCGGAATCTCGCAAAAGTTATATAGTCTTGGTTTGATGAAAATCTTTCAGTTTCAGTTAACAATGTGACAGCCACCGGTTGCGTATGTGTTTTTTTAATTGCGTTTTTATTATTATCTAATTAAAGTTTTAAAGTTTCTAATCGAATTAAATTATTAATCGAGATTAATGAAGTGAATCGAGTAAGTGATAATGAGTGCCATATAAACATGAAATATTCTAAATTGAAAATTCACAGTCGGACTACATAACCTCTAAATCTTAATCGCAACAAATCTACAAAGAAAACAAAGGTAATTTCAATTGTTTTTTGAATAGAACAAAAATATTGTTATTTCAAACAGGTGTTACACAAAGTACCACGTGTATCTCGTATGAAAGAAGCAATTTTTTTCAAACTGTTTGGAAAACATCTTCTTTCTCCACTAGTTACACAATGTTAATCGTTAATTCCCATTTCTTTAAACAAAAATTTGCTAAACTGCCAATGAATACTCTTCTCGATTCCTGCAGCTTGATTTTACAAGTTTCTAGTCAGAAACAGTTTTTTAACTTACTTATTTTTAAGTCCTCTGAATCTTTGTCGAGACGATGACAAGTCCTTATCGACGTTGTTATGTAAATATATTTTTGTACTGTCAGTTGCAGGAATGCGTGACGTTATATCAGATGAAATTGACAATGAGGTGGAAATCTATTATAATGTAGTAGTGATATATTTAAGAGATTAATATAAAGAAAAACACCACACACAAAATAAGTGTTGTTTTTTCTTTAATCGAACAAGTGATGTCAACATATTTTTTATGGCATTTACTAATCTTTAATTTAAAGACGATGATGATGATAATAATAATAGTGACAGAAAGTTTTTTAAAAATGTACTTATAGATGAATTTTTTTAATTCTTATTTTCTTCAAATATTTTATAGAGAAACAAATAATATTTATCAAAAAAAAAATTTTAATAACAAACTAATATCATTTTTTTCGAAAGGCGCATGAAATACATAAAATGCATGAAATTCATGAAATTAAAATCGAATTTATAATAATTAATGGTAAAACTTAATGCCAGTTTAGTAAATTTTGGCTTAAAAAATAATTACTTTTTTTTAATCGAAAACAACTAATTATAATTTTCTTGTTAGTGCATTTTTACTTAACTTGATATCAAGTATAAGTTTCAGACGAGAATTGTATTATTTATTAGAAAAATTATGTGTATAAACGCCTAGTATATAGGGTATTCGAATATATATATATTTTTTTGTATATTTCGTATTCCCTATGTGAATGTGTGTATAATCTGTAAATTATTATATCATTTCAAAAAATTATTTGCAATACTAAGTAAAGAATTTCGGTCTCTTCCTAACAGACATGTATATATACTGAGTTAAGTTTTAATATTAAAATAATAAATAAATATTAATTCAATGATCTTCTTTTTTTGATAATCATTTGAAATATTAAAAAATAGTGTTTTTATTATACGTTATCTATTTTTTTAAAGCATTTCGCATTTTTTTATTTAACAAACTCATAACAAATAAAGACTAAAATTATATTTATCTTAATAAATTTTAAATAATTATTAATTATCACAGAAATGATCCACGAGTTTTAAACGTTTAAATGATCGAAATTATTTTATTACAAATTAATAAATTATTATTTATAAAATTACCACGAATTCTATTATAAAAACTTCAATTTTTTCTATTTCTGACAATAATTTCTTTTTAAACTTAGAAATTATTTAATGAATAATTTTACTTAAATATTTCAAAATTAATTGAATTTTAAGAGTTGCGTTTACAATTCTCATAAATAAATCAACTTCAAAAACATAAATTTTACATTTAAAAACAATTTTTTTTTAGTGACACAAAATTATTGTTAAAATTTTAATTTAAAAAAATAAATATATTTCGATCAAATTAACGTTCAGAACTTGAACATCATTCGTAGAAGTTTAATTTTTTTAGGTGGGTTTTTTGTAGCAACTTTTTTAATGATTAAAATTAATTTTTAAACAGGTAGAAAGTAAAGTATAATTTTAAATTCATAACTATTTATTAAAAGAAATCGCAATGATAAAATTCGATGAAATACAAAAATTTTTACTGTCGACATTATAATTTATATTCAACATAGACGGTGTTCTAAAGGATAATTCATTTTTATTGACGTATTAAAAAATATATCGATTACAGTCACATTTTGATAAACAGCCATTTCCAAAATTTTCAATTACTTTTTATAGGGAAAAAAACAAATGAAATGATTTGATGTCTTTTTCATTAAATAAAGTTCATTGTAAATTTCATTATTAATCTAATAATTGAAAATAAATAATATTATGAAAGACAGATTTTTTATTATGCTTTTTAGATTCACAATAAACAACATATATTTTCTAATAACACCAAAACATTTTCTTTGCCTTTTTCTTTCCAAACAAAATCGATTTTTCTAATTTAAGAAATGACTATTGAACGAACAGTGTTCTATTTTCATAAAATTCTTATAAAAAATAATTACATTTACCACAATATGGACAACGTATGAATTTTCAGTGTACATTATATATAATTCTTCGTTTATATAAAAAAAAAGGAAATATTAAATAAGTCAAAACGAAAAATATCACAAATAATTATACTTAGAAATACTAGAAAGAAAATTAAGATTCTCAAGATATTCTCTCTTGATTTTACGAACTAAAAATTATTTTTTGTTGTATAAGTTTTAAGAAAATAATGTTTTTTCATAAGTTAAAGTACATAAATTATTACGTAACAAACATTTAATTAAGAATGTAAATAGTAAAAGTAATAATTAATTAAGTATTGACTGCATCTTAATTTCAATGAAAATTAGTATATAAACTGTAAATACATTGTAAAAAATAATAAAAAACGAAGCTTGGTTCTACCAACCACCGATTAAAGGAATCAATTCCCGATTATCTAAATCGAATTTTTAAACTTTTTAATCGTAGTTGGTAAAATTGATTACAAGTATATTAACAATGTAATATAGTGAAAATGAAAATAAATTGATAAATTGAGTCATTCAGACAAAGGCTCTCCATTTTCTTTCTCAATTATGCTCTCCTAGACATTTTAAATTAAATATAAATAAAGTAATTCTCTTTAAAACAAGAAATTACATTTAGAACAATTTAAAATCTAATGCGAATAATATATATGTACAAGAAAATTACTGTAAAATTCATCTATCATAAATACACATGAGTTCACATTCGTTAAAAAGTTTCTCTACAACTTTTTAACAATTCACAAAGTTCAATACTGATTCTGATTTTCTTTTTTTTTTTGAATATGTAGAATACAGCAATAATTTCTTAAAGTTTTGTGTTCTTCCTTTATAAGAAATTATCATTAGCGATTTCACAATTATATATATGTATATAAAAAAATACAAATTAAAAATTTCCTTTAAAAAAAAAACGAAGACCGTAAATAATTATACCCACTTGACGAACATCACTATCATTCAATTCTATTTTTATCTGAACTTATAAAAAAATATAAAAAACCAAGTTTATACTTATTTGATACATACACAGCACACACTTGTTTAGAAAATCTCAAAGAATCAGACACTGGATTAGAAAATCCAAATATAGACTCGAAGAGAGGAAATATAGTGCCTGAGACTATTTGAATTTCTTTTGAATATGAAAAAATTCGTGGCTATACATATAAATAAAGCCGTAAGAAATGTTTCTTACATTTTTTTTCATTGTTTTTGTTAAATATTTAACAATAAGACGGATTTCTCTTGTAATCGACACTCATCGATTGTTACTGAATTCTTTTCAGTAACTCTTTTACTACATCAGCTGTCTGGAACCTGAAAATAAAAAAATAGTGTTTAAATATATTATTTCTGATTTATCACACTCTATATGAAAATTTTATTCAAATTTTATGAATGTAAATCTAAATAAAAATATTTCTAAATTTAAGAAGATTCAGTTGAACGAAATATTTTTTTATTTCAATTTTTATTTATCTTTCTATAAAAAACTGATTCTCTTTAATAGTTTTTTGTTAGTTTTTAGTTGAATTGTTGTGAAGAATTTTATTAAAATTGTATTGAAAATAATTGAATTCAATAAGTGGAATTTTAAAATTTTATTCTATAATTATTCAAAAAGTAGTAAAAATAATGATAAAAATAGTAATAAACGTTCATTCGGTGGTTGGAAACTTTTGGGGACATTAAAAATATTTAATAACTTACCTTCCATTGTAATTGTGCACCGACACTGTAAAGCTCTTTAAGAGATTCCGATAAATTCCCTTGTACTTCAAGTTGTTTATATTTATGATAAAGTTCAAGTGCAGCTCGAGCATCTTCTACTGAATCGTGTGTTTCAGACTGTATTTTTTTACCTAAAAAATGCCATGTCAAAAATCGAAGAGATACCATTCTGTGATGCGGTAAATGAAACAGTAGAACGGTATCAATAACTTGCTCAGGTGGAACCACCAAATTGACAACTCTGGAAAATATCAATTCAATTTTATAGTCAAAGTTTTTAAAAGAGTAATTTGAAAAGAGAAATAAATTTCGGGTCACAATAAATTACCTAAAGTCGTTTTTGAGTCCGTGTCCTACAAATATAATACCATTATCAACAAGAAATCGCAACTTTTGATAAGTCGACTTTAAGGTAGTTAGATGCTTGCTGCTGAAGTTCGCATCTAAATCACCAGGTTGGATTCCACTGAACTTGGTTAAATAATCCACTACTTGTTCTTGCGTACTTATATAATCATCAATGAATGGAGTGTATTCAAGTGGACCTTGCCTAGAATAGAATATTTTTTCTTTATGAAAAAATAGAAGAAAAATAGTAGAAGAAATTTTCTATTTATGAAATATACAGGCCTCGGATCGACATTAAGCTTGAAAAAAGTCGCTTTAGTGGATTTAAAATAGAAAAAAAGTCGTTTATTTAATTCAGTGTCGTCACAAAAAATTTATTTTGTATTTTCTGATCTTTCACTGATTACTAAATTTAATTATTCAAAACTTGAACAATTTCGTAAAATAATATATTTAAATAGGTACTTTTTTTGTTTTTATACGGGAATAAAATTTTCAAAAATTCTATTTAAAACCTTCTAAAAATTACAATTTTAATTCTCTTAAAATTTAATTATTTTCTATAATTTTTAATCAAAATTCTTCGCGAAATCAATTATTTTTAATAATTTTCTGAAAGTTCTTTGAAAATTCAATTATTTAAATACAAAAATTTAAAAATATTTTAATATAATTTTTAGAAGCTAATTTTTATTAATTACCATTTTTAAATTTACACTTGAAAATTTTTCATTAAAATTTTTGAGAAATCAGTTATTTTCAAAATTTGCAATTAAAATTCTGTAAAAGTTGATTTTCAAAATTTTTTAATAAAACACTTTGAAAAAAACCAATTAGTTTCAATTAAATTTTATAAAATTTCAATTACCTATTTGAAACTCTTTTCTATTGTAAATTTTGAAAATTTATTTAGTATTTATAAAAATAGTTGAATTGTTTCGAAGAAATTATTAAAATTTAAGGAAATAATTGAATTTTATGAAAATATTTTAATTCTTCCGAGAAATTCAATTAAAGATGTTTTGAAAATAATTGAATTCCTGCAAAGAATTTTACTATTTATAAAAATAATTGAATTGTTTCGAAGGATTTATTAAGATTTTAGAAAATAATTGAATTTATTCGAAATATATTAAATTTTTTTTTTTAAAATTGAATTTTTCCGAGGAATTCAATTTCAATTATTTTCAAAATTTGCAATTAAAATTCTTCAAAAGTTGTCGTAATTTTTGAAAATGGGTCGAAAGAAGTCGTATTTTTTGAAAATAGTCGAAAAAGTTTAGTTATAATATCCGAGGCCTAAATATAGTAAAAGTGGAAGAAATTTTCTATTTATGAAAATATGATACAGTAAAAGTAGAAGAAATTTTCTATTTATGAAAATATGGTCGAAGTAGAAGAAACGTAGAACAATGACTTAATGAATTAAATAAAAAATAAATTAATGAATTAAACAATGACTTACCCTCGAATGCATGTGACTCGAGCCACCGACATGTGGCTTGGTTTTATTTGAGAAATTTTACCATCACTACGAAGTTCAGCTTCTTCTTGATTTAAAGTAACGAATTCTGCGTCGATTCCCACTAAATCACCTGAAATCATATTTTAGAATGAAGAACTTTTTCTAATCTTCTTTTTTAACATTTTCTATGTCCGTAAAGTTTTGAACGTTCAAATAAATGAAATTTATTTTTAAATCCAAATTCTGTTACAATATTGCGCCACGCGTTAAAAAATAATTTCGTAAAGTTTAAAAAAGTTTAATTTACGTTTTCATTTTTATAACTCAGTAATTTTTTACGTAGGTGAATTTTGCGACGTTTGTGATCAACGATTACGAGAAAAAAAATATTTTTTACCCAAAAAATAATATTTTTTGTCTACAAATTTTTATTTTTTAAATTGTTGATTGCTGATCAACTTAATATTGTAAAAATTTGAAGGAAAAATAGTTTATTTTCTAAATCGTTTATTATAAAAGTTGTGAGATTTACCAACGTTTTTTTGGAAATATTTCTGTAGAAAAATTAATTCGTTTATTTGAATGTTTGGAATTTTTGAATCTTCATTTTTCTTCTCACCTTTTTTGGGCGTTTCATCGGCAGAAAGGGGTGTAAATGTGATTCCTCTTGTTCCTCCACTTCGAGCAATACACTTGTCCTCTCCAAAAACATCAAATGTCCATTTACAAAGTGGACTCACAAAGGGAGCAGATTCAGTAGATGATTTGGCTGTATATTGAAGAACGCATGGCACCTTCCAGTCGAGATTAAACCACACGGCTTCTTGTGGAGAAACAGCTGATATGCTGTCAAAGTATTCCATTAAATATTTTCAAAACAAAATTTCTTTTTTATTTCTATTTCTAAATTCGAATATTTTATTGAAAATTTTAAATATTTCATTTAAAAATTTTAATACTCTATTTGAAAATTTTAATATTTTGTTTGAAAACTTAAATCTTAAATCTTTAACGTCCGAGTGGTTTTATTAAATATTTAATTTGAAAATTTTAATATTCGGTTTGAAAATTCGAGTTCTTTTTAAGATTTAAAAAGGTAAAAAGTCTTACCAAAAATCATTAAAAATATACCACTGAGACGTGGAATTTCCATTTGATCTTTCGTGATAATTTTCACCGACACGAATCAGTGCAACAAGATTTCGTCTATCTTCGTTGTTCTTATCATTAATGTGGCAAATTACTGCACTTAATTCATAATTAACTTTTTGTACTTCTTTGTCGTTTGTTTCTCCCGCTGCTAATTGTATTTTCATATGACTCCTATCGACGTCCTCTGATACTTTCGACTTGTCTTCAAAATCACTATTTACTTTATTGTCTAGCTTTGTAACGTGCAAATTTCGTTTCTCATCTAATGTTATCTCTAAGTTTTGCGGTATCCAGGAATGTGAACAGTAAAGATGACTTGATACAGAAGTAGATGACGATGGTGAGGATGTTTCTGGCAAAAGAAAATTTACAGATATAGAAATTGAATTCTATTGAAATAATTATAAATAGTAAATATATAAATATTTAGAGTTGCCATAGGTCAGGGAATTCATGGAAAGTTCTTTTTAGTATCTAATAATTTTGAGAGTGAATCAGAATATTCTTTACATTCAGGAAAAATGGCACAATTTTTGTCTGAAAATTCAGGGAAAAATAAAATAAAATTTTTTGTGGCAACCCTGACATTTGTAAATTTTTTTTGGACATTTTTTGTCCAAAAGAAATGTTCTTCTTACCGGGTGGTCGACCGACATGCCTGAATCGGCAACCAGTGCGGGAACAATTTATTCCATATCGACAAGGTTTGGCGATTGATGGAATAGGACTGGAAAGTGGACTGTTCCCTTCAACTCCATTGAGAACTTTTTTAACGACAATATCCATTTGATTCTGCCAAAACTTTTTATCCTGCTGGCTATCCAATCCGCAATTTAGCGCCAATACTTGCGGCAATTTTGTTAGATGTCGCAATTGTAAGGTGGGATTGAATTTTTGACACTTATCACACCAGGCCGGAGTGACTTTCTCAGGTTTCAAACTCCGAGCCAAAACTTTCGAAAATGGCACTTCTTCCGCTATTGAATTAAATAATTCATTGAAAACAAATATTTCCATTTATTTATGATAGAAAATATCAAAATGAATTTGAATTTATGAAATTTTTAGTAAATTTAAATTCATTTAATGAAATATTTGGATAAATTTAAATTCATTTGATGAAAAATTTGGATAAATTTAAATTTAAAATTAATTAGATTGAAAAAACTGATTTTGCGTCTTACAAGGATTTGTCATCTCGGGATACGTTAAGTTGCACAGTAACATTATGGAACGTTTCGAAGCTTCTTGTCCACATTTTAAACATCGATGTATATGAATCTGCTCCGAACCGAAAACCCGACTAATCTCTGATTCCTCCTCTCGGATTTCATTCTCATCCGTTGATTTCTTGCCACTGTCGTCTAAATTTTTTTGTTTCGTATAGAAATAAGACATAAGTAATTATTACGTTGAAACAATATAAAAATAACATGAAAATTATTATGTAGAAAATTTTATCATACTTTTAAAAAACAAAGCAATAATTAAAAATAAGCTTTTTAAAAGCATCTACAATAGCCAGTAAAATAGATTCTTTTACTTCTTCCAGGGCTCGAACTAGGTGCGTTAATCCTGTAAAAGTCCGTTTTTTTTTTAAAAAAAAAAAGGTCCGTTAAGTCCGTAATTTGATTCAAAAAGGATGAAAAGTTCGTAAATTGTACGATACAATATTGGAAATTTTAAAAATGTTAGAAATGATTGCAGAAATTCAATTATGTTCAAAAGTAATAAAATTCTTCGCAGAAATTCAATTATGTTCCGAAAATTTTGTAAATTCTCATCAAAATTTCAATTATCTTTATAGAAATAATTAAATTCTACTCCGAAATTCAATTAATTTCAAAAATTTTTCTAAACTCAATGATTTTTAATATTCACTATTTTCATAAAATTTTCCAAAAGAATTCAATTACTTTTAAAAAAAAAAAAAAAATTCTACACAAACTTTTAATTATTTTCAAAAAATAATAAAAATTTCACAGGAATTTCATTATTTACAAAGTTTTTTTTATAAATTTCTTTACAATCATTCAATTATTTTCATAAATAATAAATCAAAGAAATTCAATTATTTGAAAAAGTCTTCCTATAATTTATTTATTAGAATTTAAGTATCATTGTCAATACATTTTTAATTAAACTTGAAAGAATAAAAATTATTTTCAAAAATTTTAATGAAATTCTTTTTAACAATTCAATTTTTTTTTCAAAATAATTTTACTAAATTTCTTCTTAAAAATTTATCAAAATTCAATTATTTTCAATAAAATTTCACAAAAGAATTCAATTAGGTATTTAAAAAGAAATATTGATTAAAGAACTCATCTAAAGAATTCAATTATTTTTAAAAGTAATAAAATTCTTCTCAGAAATTCAATTAGGTATGGTCTAAAGTTTTAAAAAAATCTCTTCAAAATTTCAATTATCTTTAGAAATAATACAATTTTTCTCCAAAATTCAATTATTTTTTAAAATTTTAATAAATTGGCAAAGTTTCAATTATTTTTAAAAACTTTTCTCAATTCAATCAAATTTTTTTACAGAGATTCAATTATTTTTAAAACAATTTTAATCTAATTTCTCGAAAAATGAAATTATTCTTCAAAATTTTATTTAAATTCGTTGATAAAATTCAGTTATTTAAAAATTATTAGATAAAATTCTTTATGAAAATTCAATTTTAAGAAAAATGCAATTCTTCAATAAATTGTTATTTTTGTATTTAAATAATTAAATTCTAGTAGAATTTTCTAATAAAAATTGATTTAAAAATGAATTTCAGTTGAAATTTTAGATTATGTTTAGAAATTCATTTAAAATTCTTGTAATTATTTCAATTATCTTTATAAATAATAAAGTTCTTTTCTAAAATTCATTTATTTTTTAAAAACTTTAATAAAATTCAAATACCAAGTAATACAATTAATTAAATGTTGGTAAAATTTCAATTACTTAAAAAAATTTTCCAAAAGAATTCAATTAGTATTTAAAAAAAAATTTCGACAAAATTCTACTCAAACATTTCATTATTTACATATAAATAATAAAATTATTGTTAGGAATTCAATTATTCGTATGAATAATAAAACTCATTGTAGGATTTGAATTATTTTTAATACAATTGTTAATTCAATTGTTAACTTCTTTCACCTTTAATATTTTTAATACAGTTTTAAGAATTCAATTTGAAGAAACATTCAATTATTTAATAAATTGTTTGTTTTTGTATTTAAATAATTAAATTCTCGTAGAAGTTTCTAATCAAAATTAATTAAAAAATAAATTTTAGTTAAAATTTTAGAAATTTTAGAAAGAATTTTAGAAATTCAAATATTTTAAAATTTGTTTAAAAATGAATTCTAGTTAAAATTTTAGATAATAATTGAATATTAAAAGAAATATAGCGTGAATTTTTAAAAATCATTGAATTTTAAAATCAGTTTTTTTGAAAAAGTTTAATTGAATTTTTTTTTATAATATTATTTGAAGTTTTTATTTTCTAATATTTGTTTAATTGAAGAATTTACGAATAATTGAAATTTCGTAAAATTGAATATTGTAAAGAAATGGATTTGAAAATTGCCAAAGAACTTTTTCGAAAATTATTAAAAATTAATAGAGATAATCGATTTAAAGAAGAATTTTATTCAAAAATTCTTGTAAATAATAATTGAATTGTAAATGATTTTATTACTCGGTCATCTTTAATTATTATAAAACATGAAGAATTTAATCTCTATTTTTAAGTAAAATATTTTATTTGATTCGGACTGGTTATATTTTTTTGGTCCGGAAATGCTCCCTATTTTTTCATTTTTTGATCCGTAAAGTCGGTATTTTTAAATACTTTCACTGGTTCGAGCCCTGTTCTTCTTTTTTTAATAAAAAAAAAGAAAAAAAGCATTAAGAAACACTAGCGATAAATTTTTATGGTACAAAAAAATAGTTTAATAAGTAGAGGGAATACATTACTCTATTTTTTTCTAGAGACATCACTATAATGTCACTACAAACACAGATTGCTAAGGGTAGAAAATTAAAAAATTAGCAGAAAAATTGAAAAATAAACACAAAATAGTGCCCAATGCAAAGGTTACACGTGAATTGTGTTTACCTTTCGATGTGATCCACATATATTTACCATCCTCCTCTTGTTTTCGTCTTCTTCTTCTATCGTCCTCATTGTTTATGTATCGTGAGCCAAGATCTTGTAAAATACTCGGAAAATCATGTTCATTGTAAACAAATGCATTATGCTTGGGTTCCATTTTTAATCGCATAGTTTCCTCCTCCTTCTCCTGTTGGCGTTTCTTCGTTTCCAATAGTTCATAGTGCATTTGATGTAAAATGAACCTGTTCCAACTCTGTGTAATATTATTAATTAAAATTATTATTATTTTTCGAAAAATGAATAAATTCAGATTTAAAATCTAATGATAAAATGAATGAAATTACCTGAATCAATCTTATCAAGCTGACTTTTCTTTTTGCTTCGGGATGAAGATCATTTAATATCAGACCTAATGCTGATGCTTCTGGAACAGTTCTGAAAGCTCTCAAAAAATTCGCCGCTTGACAGGGAACTCCTTTCGAAGTGTCCAACATGTGAAAGAGAAAACCCATTTCACAGGAGAGACAAAATTCTCTCTGACATAAATGCGAAAGCAACGACATTCTTACCGGTTCACAATAATAAAGCATCTGTTTAAAAAGAAATTGATTTTCAGAAAATCTTCTATTATCCAAAAATTGAAACATATTTTTTTTAATATATATTTTTAAATTCAATAGCGGAAGAAGTAAAGTTTATGTTTTTTTTTACTCACTTGAAGCATGGAATTACAATAACTGTTTGGAAGTGTAGATTCCAAGCCGCAAAAATTTGATCGATTATATTGATCGAAATCAAATTCATCGTAATAAAATTTCATCGAATATTTAACTTCTGTCTTACGATATCGTTTTGGTATAGCCACAAAGGTCCCATCGTCTGTTTTAACTCGTGAATCATTGCCAAATAATTTTGTGACTATACCACGCCTCTTTTCCAAATTGTATGGAATCTGTAAAAAAGGTATTATTTATTTTCTTTCATACAAATGAAAATTTTATTTCATTAAAATTAAATGCCGATTAAAAAAGTTTTTGAGTATAAATAAATAATACCTATTCACAGTGCCTGGGAATTCGACAATTTTTAAATAAATAAGAACCAAATTAATCAAGTCAGGTTTATGACGATCTCGCATATAACCTTTATTTTCACTCGTTATACACTTTATTTATATTTTATACACTTTATTTATCACTTAGGCGATATTCCTTAATATAATTTATAATAATGAAAAAATAAATTCTAATAATTCAGTTCATTAGAAACTTTTTCATTTTTTTTTGTGTAAATGTTTAGTCTCTTGTAATTAATTTTTCATTTAAGAGATTTTTGCATTTTTAGATAACTAAATTGAAAATAGATTTGAAAATAGATTTGAAAATATTTTTTAATTCTAGCGAATGCAATATTAAATACGTAATTTTGATTATAATTACTTTTTTCAATTTTAACAATTTACGGGAGAGTTTCTTTTTACTGATAATTATTAGAGAAATAACTGCAAATAATAATTCTTTCTTAGAAAAATATTATCACGTTCTCAATTTCAATTATCATAATACTTTACATCAGTCTTGTTTCTATAATAGAAATGGCACTATTTTTCGAATACTAATTAAATTATCTCACTATAATTGCAAAAAGTAGATTCTTTTTTTTATCACCGTAAACATTTGGTTCATAAATTACGAAAATATGCAGCTATATAGAGTATTTGATTTCAAAAATCGACTTAGAATTTACGTCTTTTCTCACACAATTTAACGATCAATTAACTAAATTTGGCTCCAGTCTTCAAATTGAAAGATGGAAGGAAAATAAAGAAAAAAAAAAAAATGAAACGTAATTTCTAGAAAAATTGAAATTGGGTTTTTTAAGAATATTTTAAAGAAGGGGTGGTGAATATTGTAGTAGTGTGGGAGAATATTGTTTCCTCACTTGATTTCTGCGAAATGACTGAGGGTTCGGCGCGTAACCAATAGGACCTTGCATTTTCATTGTTTTCAGGATTTCCGGATCAATCTGCGGTGACTTTCTGGAAAGAAAAATAGAATAAGAATCGATGGAAAATGTATAAAAATAAGTTTAATTATTTTAGTTTAAATGCACATTCGAATGTAAATGCAAAATTTACCTGTACACTTTTTTAATGTACTCCTCGGGCCAGTCGCTAAAAAGTGGATGACCAGTGTATACCATTGGAGTAGAACTTAGTGAAGTTTCATTATCATCAAATGAAAAAGGTTGCAGTGTTTCCACTGGATCTGCAAATTCAGTAGGCCTAAGGACAAAAAAATTTTAATAAACTTTTTTTTTACTGAATTGATAGTTCACATCATTGCATTTAATGAATGCTCCAAAAATTCGAAACTGTTTGAGAACATTTTATTGAAAGTGATGAAATAAAATTTACTGACCTGGAAAAGGTGTTAAATTGTGGTTCTGGATTGTTTGTAGACATAAGATGAATAGAACCAACTGCGTCTCCGAAAGACAGACATTGCGACGTAGGAGAAACGTCGAAAGATAATATCATTGCACCTCCAGTGGCAACCTGTAATAATTAAAAACGGTATTACTAAATAAAAAGTTAAATATTATACGAACGTGAAATTTTACTCAAAAATGAAATTAAATTTTGAAATGAAATTGAAAAATAAAAATAAACAATGAAAAATGATTACCTGATATAAACAAGTGACTGATGGTTGAACATTGGCGTAAATAGTGTCAAGCAGTTGCATTTGTCCGAGAGGAGACACAACAGCAATACGACTGGAATAACTCGGTAGAAATTTGAGTAAGAATGGAAAAACCATCGTTTGAACTGGACTGAGTGCTCTCATTTGTCTCAAGTCATATGCCATCAAAAATCGATCTACCGACATTCCCTGAAGACTATAAATTTATATTTTAAATTAATGAAAACTCTTGATTTACAATTGAAATTTCAAATGAATAGAATTTAGAATTTTCTCACCTGTTGCTGAAACCACAAGTGACCAGATAATTCCCTTGAACATCAAAATCACTTAATGAGCCACTATGAGTATCAAGTGTGTGCTCAACAGACAACGTATTTGGATCCCTGAGATCAATCCTGCCTGCAGGATTACCCGCGCAAATAAGTCTGTTGTGTTGCCTTAGTATGGCACAACCACTTTCACCCACGTTCACCTGGAACAAATTGTTATTACAATATTTATTAAACTATTATTATTATTAAAAATTATTACAGGGTTGCCACAAAAATTTAATTCTCTTTTTCGCTAACCATAAAGAATTTTCTAATTCACTCTAAAAGTGGTTTTACATTTTTTACATTCAGAAAATACTTTTTGCAATTTTTCTAAAAGCAAATGCTTTTAAGCCTAATAGATTAATTAACTTACTAATCCAGTTTCTTTGCCTCTGGTGAGTTCAAAATCAATAAGTTTATCCTGATGGCCACCCATTAATAATCTTGTCGGAGATATTTGAAGTATACACTGCATATCGATCATATTTGCTGATCTATAATTAACGAAATTACATAATCGTTTCATTACATAATTAAACACATTTAATATTATCTTTAAACGATAAATTATTTAGGTCAAACATACGTGTGTGTAAATATTGGAATACCACGTCGCAGCTGGCATCGCAACATACTTTGTGTCAATGCTAAAATTCCCTCGTCGACAGGATGAATTTGCCGAATTTCTTGCGTTGCGTGCACTTGAAATGAGGTATATTTTTGCAAACTGGAGCCATAATATGACGTTACGTGACCCTATAATATTTTTAATTTACATAAATTAATATTTTTGATTATTAAATGAAAACATATGTTTTTTTATAATTCTTAGTTATACTAAAAATTCTTAATATACTAGAATTTTTTCTTCTGAATATATTAAAAATTCTTAATATACTGGAATTTTAAAATAAATTAAGAAAAAGTAAATATAATTCTTAGAGTTTTTATAATTAAAGTACCCCTTGGTTTCCCATCCATAAAAGTTCTTCCACCGAATCAAAAGACACAGTGGAAACTCCAAATCTATCGCCTCCATCGGCCAAAAATGTTCGCGTCTCCTGATATTCAGCTCCTGAAAATTCTTCCCCAAATTGCTCCGATGTAGGCACGAATCCATCTGCAGGTAATTCGTAATTTGGATCCTGCCCTGTTATTAAAACAGTGAATGAAATATTTTGACACAGTGTTAATTAAACAAAATAAAAAAGAGAATAAAAGGAAAAAATAAAAGGACAAATAAAATAAGAGGAAAAATAGTTAAATTGTTTAATTCAAAGAAAGAATATAAAAATTAACCGCTAGTTTTATAAAATTTATTGCAAATACTGAACTTACTGTATTTAGTTTGTTCAAATCAAGTACAAGTTTATTGTGAGTCTGAAATAAAACAACATAACCCCACTTGACAGCACTTTGACAATTTGCTCTCCAGAAGGGTTAGGTTCGTTTTGTTTAAATTTTTCAAGTAAAGAAAATTAAGCAATCTGTTAACAATTGTCACTAACATTAACATGTCTTTATAATATAACAATTAAGGAAAGCTTGAATTAATTTTTAGAACTCAGCAGAATTCCATAAGTCTTAACTTTAATACAAAAACAATGAAAATAAGTGCTTACACAATAAATCCTGTTCAACAACAGCAGCATTGGCGTCTAAGGATGGATCATAGTGGCCCAAGACTGAAAAGTCCATTTTATTCTTCTTTTTGTTTTATTTGTCATAAATTGACCGTTGAGAACACCATCAGTCACCTTGAGATAATAGCGTTCAATAAAAAATATGTTTTTACTATTCAAATTTTTATCACTGGCAGAGCTTGTAGACTAAATTACCACTAATTAATAATAACAGTATCGACGCCGTTTAAATGTTAAATGACAAATTTCTTGGTGGTATGAACATAATAAATTTAATTCATATCGGTGTTTCAATAATAGAAATCATAAAATATGTAAAATGTGGTTGAAATGGAACTCACTGTTGATTGTTATACTGATTCCAGCGCCAAGATTCTGTTTTCTCGTGAGCAGTGATCGAAGTTTATATAAAACGCGGTAAATTGGAATTTTTTTTATTACCTGTTCTACCAAATATTTTTTTTAATTAGAAATAACATATTTCCTCCCTGTTATTTTTGGACTGTTTTTGTAATTTTTAGGAATTTTTAGATTTTTAGCAAATTTTGTACATTTACTAAATTATCAAATTTGACAAATTTTCAGGGAAAATAAGAGTCTTTATCTTTATTAAGATTTTTGTTTATTATATACATTTATTCACAGAATTAGTGTATAGAATGATTTGGAAAAGAAACATTTATTCACAGAGTAAAACAGAGATTGATAGTTTTTCACATATTCAACAGATTAATTTAGGGAATGTAGATGATCATTGTAATAATTATTCCATTTTAAAAAATACAATAGATCTTTTGGTTTAATAACTTAAATGTTATTTATTCAAAATTATAAATTATTGTACGATTTGAAAACTAAACAGGATTGCCACAAAAATTTAACTTTGTTTTTCCCTGATTAATTCCAGACAGAATTTGACTTTTTCCCTGACCCTAAAGAATATTCTGATTCACACTAAAAATAATTAAATTTTAAAATTCAATTGTTTACAATTAAATTTTTACGAAATTTCCATTATTTGGAAATTTTTCAATTAAATTTATTTGTGGGAAGAATTTTGTTGTTTATCAAGATAATTCAATTCTTTTGCAGAATTATTTGAAAATTTTTGATAATAATTGATTTTCTGCGACGAATCAAAAGTTATTTATGAAAATAATTGAATTATTGCAACGAATTTTATTATTTTGTTGAATAATTGAATGTTTCATAAAATTCAATTCTTTCATCAAGTTTTAATAAAATTTTTAAAAATCATTGCATTTTTCAAGGAATTTATTAAAAAATATTTGAAACTCCTGCCATGAAAATAATTGAAATTCTAAATGAATTTTATTATTAATGAAAAATAATTGAATTCTTATAATGAATATTTTTATTTATGAAAATAATTAAATATTGCAAAGAAATTCATTAAAATTTCTAAGAATAATTGAATTTCCCTGACCTGTGGCAACCCTGCTAAAATATAGTATAAATTTTGTAGCATATTTTTGATTCCTTAATTTTGCTTCCTCGAAAGGAAAAGCATTGTATTTATGCTTATGAATGATTTAATAGCATACTTGATTTGATAAATATCAGATAAAAGTTTATAAAGTTTCTCTTTTTATTGTATGATTACAGGATTTGATTCAGAAGAATGCGCTGGCGCTTGTCTCCTCCAGAAATAGTCTTAGATTTACGAAAGAGTAAGTGTGATAAAATTACGATTTTAATAATATTTTTGTCTGGCCCCGTCTAAAAATCTTTTCCGGCATCGCCTGAGAGATTTAGTAGTTTTAATATAAAAATAAAAACCCAAAAACTCAATATTTACTGCTTTTTTTTTACAAAAATTGAGTTTTCCTAAAATTTAAATTTGTTCCTAATAAATAGTCTTTTTATCCGTAGTATAAACTGTTATTATTAGTATTTTTTTTATTAAAATTGTCGATGATAAAAACATACGAACGATATTAAAAGTATTGTAAAACTTATTTATTTTGAAAATAATTTAATTTTTGTACTTTTTTTGATTATAGATTTTATATCTTCAACTAAATGTGAATTAATTAATTAATAATTTTTTACTTGAGTTTTGAGAATAATTACGATAGTTTGAGCATTTTTTTTTTGAGTTGCCATGACACGAATTTTAATTAGCGTCAGATAGTAAGTGTTGACGAGTAGAAAATGAAGAATATTTCACTGAAAATTAAAGAAATGAGAATGTTACATTTTTTATATAGATTTCTAAAAATTATACACACAGAGAAAAATTTTACATAAACCAAACATAATTTATTTGAGTTAAAAACATATTTGACTCGGAGATTACTAAATTATTTATTTTAAATAAAAAATTTCTTTTACACAAATAAAATTTTTATTTGAAACAAATAAAATTTATCTGAATCAAACAAAATTTATTTGAAACAAACAAAAAGTTTAATAGACCCTGAGTGAAATATATCTTTTTTTTCTGGGTGTATTTGTTACTATATAATTATTATACTATATAATTTTGTTTACCATTCTCTCATTTAATGACACAATCCTTATTTCGATGTAATTATGACAATATTCATAATTTCCACAAATCTCGTAATCATATTATCTGTAAAAATTAAAATGCAATTTATCATTTCGGTAAATAATAACTTAGTTCGCAAATAAAATTATTTACCTTATTGGCGTCGAATTAAATGTGCACGATGACTGCTAATTATCATATCTTCTGAATCAGTGGACGACCACTTTGATAATTCCCTGCTGGTGTGAATGATTTTCGAGATATCTTGAATTGGAAAAGACGAACGGCGGAAGAAAGATGTCTTACCTAGAAAAATTTTTCGTTTCTTTAATAGATGATTAAAATAAGATTTTACTTTAAAGTGAAATTTGAAATTTAGAGGGAAATAAGTGCATAGAAATTAAACATTAACGTGTCATGAAAAAAATATACATTTAGAAATGTTAATAATTTTCTACTTTTTAAATTATTTGCGTATTCAATAATATATCGCAAATTATTTGTGTATTTACAAATATATACATTGTCTTGACACTTTTGACATTATACGTAAATTATTTTTATAAAAAACTGATTTATAACAAAATTTTAGTACTTTTTTTATTTTATTTAATTTTTTTAATATAAAAAACGTTTTTTGTTTACGTTTCTTCACTCGAGAATGATGATACAAAAGAATTCTACATTATCATTACTGTACAGTAGCTCCATCTAGAGAAATCGAGTGAAAGCTGTATTATGATTCCCGCCCGTATTTTTCAGTTTCGCGCGGGATTTGCACTTGACAACAATGATAATTGATAAACGTGAATTTTTAATTTTTACCCTTTTTACAGTGTTTTAGATTAATTAGAATTAAACTATAGTTGCAATTTTACTAAATTATTATCCGTAGTTTTCGTGATTGAATCGAGCAAGTGATAATTAGTGGAATACGAATACAACACAATACATTGAAATTGGAACAACATAACCTCAAAATAATAATTATTGAACAGTAGTGCCATCTATAACAATCGGGTAAAATAATCTTTGTTTCAGTTTTGCGTGGGATTTGAACTGTGCAACAGTGATAGCGGTGGTAGCTAATAAATTGGACTTTTTACCATGTTTTTGATTAATTAAAATTAAACTTTTGTTTCGAGCATACGAAATTATTATTCGGCATTACGGAAGTGAATAAATCAAGTGATAGTCGTGATAATTAGTGAATACGTAAAATTGATAATCTGGCAATCGTGACAATCGACCAACATAACCCCAAAATATTCATTACAATACAGTAGTGCCATCTGTAGCAATCGTGTAAAAGCTTTATTATATTTTATGATTAACGTATTTTTCAGTTTCACACGGGATTTGTACTTTGCAACAGTGAGAGTAGAATTTATACCGTTTTTAAGTATTATTTAACATTCAATTTTAGTTCCAATCATAACTTATAGTTATTGTTCGGCATTAAGGAAGTAAATTGAGTAAATGACAATAATGCAATATGAATACAGAAGTATTATAAATTGACAATCGAGCAACATAACCTCAAAATAGTTGTCAAAAATAACTTTTTCCACCGGTTGCATATTTACGGTATAGTTTAGTATTCCACCATATCATTCAAGTGCAGTGTTCTTTTAGTAAAATTTAGAAGTTAATTTCAGTTTTCAATTCTAAATAATTATTCGACATTGACAAAAGTGAATACAGCAAGTGATATTTATAGTGAGTGCCAAATGTTTAACCACATTCCAATAAATAAGGGGATATTTAAATAGGAAGAAATATTCTAACTAAATGGATTTCTTCTAAAATGGATAATCGGACAGAATTGCCTCAAAAAAACACTTTGCAACAACAAAGGTAATTGAAATTAATTGTTCTTTAAAAAAATGCATCGTTTCTCAAGTAAGTGTCAAAATTATATGCAAATCTTACGAAAATGAAAGATTTGCATTGTTTTTTAAACTTGAATTACCCTTTTTTTAATTAGTTTTTTTAAATTAGTTTTATATTGTTCTTGTTATGTACAATATTATTTAAAAAGTAGAAAATTATATTTATATTGGTATTTGTTTATATACAGTGAATAAGTTCCAAAAATTCAGGAGTTCGAATGAACAATTTTTTTTGCAATAATATTTTTAATTAAAACTTACTATCTTTGCAATTACGATTCAAAACGTAAATTAAACATTTTGGAACTTGGTAAATTATTTTATTTCCGAAAATTCTGAACGCGTTGCAATATTTTTTATATTAATATTTTCAAAAGTTACCTTTGGATTGAAAATAAAAGATGTAAATAAATTGAACAGTTTTTTATTTAACAATTCGAGGCGAACTTGTAACTTTTTCGTTATTTATTCCAATATTAGTAAAATAAAAATTGTCAATGTCAATAGTAGAAAATACATAAGTAATTTAACAATAAAATATTTGATTTATTATATTTATAAAAAAAATTAATAAATAGACAAATTTTCTTTATTTGAACGTTCAAAATTTTAGGATGATAAATAAATGAGAAAATTATAATTTATAATTATAGTACAATATAAATGTTAAAATTATTATAATATAAAATTAAACAAGTTTTGGACATTTTTTTCGGACATATATACCTGAAAAGATGAAATAGATTATAGGAATAGTAATAAAATACATATATAATTTAATTATAAAGGGCAACATTTTGAAAAAATGATTTTTGTATAAAAGGTATTTAACAACAGAATAGAAACAGAAGTTTGTGAAGTTATATTACGTTTAAATAATCCCTAGGCACGAGGCCCACGGGGCACGTGACCTCTTCGCCCCTGCAATGATACTGATTTCATTCCTAGAGGCATTCAATTATAATAATATTATATTATTAATTTATATTCAAAATTAAAATTTCCTTTATCTTCGTATTCTTCATCTGGTGTGATTGAATAAATATTACAGGATGAATTTCAAATATAATTCTCTAGGTAATTTATTGATTTCTCTAACTTTGTTAGATTATTATTTATTGATTGAGATAATACCATATTGGGACTTTTTCATATAATTAAAAATGTATTTGTATCGACGCACAGCGTCGAAAACTATTATTTCGGATTTTTGGAGATAAAAATGCATTAATAATTTTACTTCTTTCATTCAATTTGGGAATAAAAAATTACTTTTTTTAAACGTAAAACCTCTTCAGGGTTGCCACAGGCCAGGGAAAGTCAGGGATTTTTGTTGAAAGTATTGGAAAAAATTAAATTTTTAGAATTCATAAGAAAATTTTTAATTTTCATGTCTTTTTTGTTTGTCTCGAAAACTAAAATTACCTCGAATTCTAATGCAAAATTATCAATTATTTAAGTATTTCAAAAGTTTTCACGCAATTATCTTGAATTTGATAAATATAACAAAATTCTTCACAAAAATTCAATTATTTTAAGGAATTTAAAAAAAAGATTCTCTGCAAAATTCAATTCTTTTCTTAAGTAACAATTTTCAGCACATGAATTCAATTATTTTCAAAAGTAACAAAATTCTTCGAAGAAATTCAATTATTATTAAAAATTTAAACAAATATCCCGTTAAAAATTCAATTATTTTTATAAGTAGAAAAATTTTTCGCCAATAATTGAATTACTTTCAAAAACGTATATAAAATTCTTTACAAAATTTCAATTATTTTCAAAAAATTTTTGCAATTCATTGATTTTCAATTATTATTGTCAAATATTTTAATAAAATTTTTCACATAAATTTAATTATATTCATAAATTATTATTTAAATTCATCTCAGGAATTCAATTATATTTGTAAAAATTTTAATAAAATTCTTCAAAATGATTACAATTATTTTCAAAAATTGTTTTAAAATTATTTAATATAATAAATTTTAGTAAATTTTAATTAAATTTCACAAAAGAAATGAATAATTTCCAAAAGTTTTTACTGAAATTTTTCGTAAAAATTAAATTTTAAGAAACAATTAGGAATTCAATTATTTTCATCGTAGAATTTCAAATATTTTTAATATTTTAATTAAATTGCTCGAAAAATGTAACTATTCTTAAAAATTTGATTAAAACTTGATGAAAGAATTTAATTTTAAGAAACATTCAATCATTATTCAATAAAATTTTAAAATTCGTTGCAGTAATTCAATTATTTTTTAAATAACTTTTAATTCGTCGCAGAAAATCAATTATTTTCAAAATATTTTTAAGTAATTCTGCAAAAGAATTCAATTATCTTGATAAACAACAAAATTCTTCCCATAAAATCAACTATTTTAAGAAATTTTAATAAAATTCTTTTCCATAATTCAATTATTTTGATAAATATCAAAATTCATCACAAGAATTCAATTCTTTTGAAAAGTAATAAAATACTTTTTAGAAATTAAGTTATTTAAAATTTTTTTAAAATTCTGGTCAAGAATTAAATTATTTTTGTAAATAGGTATTGAAATTCTTCTTAAGAATTCAATTACTGTCAAAAATTTTTAAAAAATTCTTTGCAAAATTTCAATTATTTATACAAAATTTGATAAAATTCTTCGCATGAATTCAATTATTTTCATAAATTATTATTTAAATTTATCTCAGGAATTCAATTATTTTTTAAAATTTTTATTAAAATTCTTCAAACAGTTTTCAATTGTTTTCAAAAATTGGTATAAAATTCATTAATGTAATAAATTTTAGTAAAATTTTAATTAAATTCCATAAAAGAAATTAATTATTTTCAAAAGTTTTCTAAAATTCTACATAAAAATTAAATTTTAAGAAACATTTAATTATTGAATAAATTATTTATTTTTGTATTTAAATTAAATGAATTCTCGTAGAATTTTCTAATAAAAATTGTTTTAAAAATGAGTTTCGGTTAGAATTTTAGATAATAATTGAATTTTGAAAATGTTTCAAATCTAAATCTTTGAAAATCTGATTTTTTCGTACAATTCTCTAGAATTATTTTTTTTTTGAAAAAGTTTAATTACTGAATTGTTTTTAAAAATTATTTAAAGTTTTCATTTTCTAAAAAAATATTTAATTGAAGAATTTCCGAATAATCGATATTTCGTAAAATTGAATATTGTAAAGAAATGGATTTGAAAAATTTAAAGAATTTTTTCAAAAATTATTAAAAATTAATTTATTTAGAAAAGAATTTTAGTTGCAAATTCTAGAAAATAATAATTGAATTTAAATGATGAAAATAATTTCGAAGAAGTTGTAACAATATTCTTATATAAAAAATAGTAATTTTATCACTGGGTTTTTTTTATAAGTTATTGAATTTCAAAAGATTTTAATTTGAAGTTTTTGAAAATCTTATCAACTATGGAAAAATTCTAGATAATAATTCTTGAATTTAAATAATTAAAATAATTTCGAAATAGCTAGAGTAACAATATTTTTATATAAAATAATAATTTTTTCACTGGGGTTATCTTTAATTATTATAAAATCACGAAGAAATCACTCGGAGTGATCAATTTCTTCATGTTTTATAACAATTTTTTATAAGTTGTTTAATTTCAAAAAGGTTTGAATTTGAAAATCTTAATACCTATAAAAAAATAATGATTAAATATTTATTTAAAAATGAAGTTATTAATGTTTTCTAATAATTTTACAATTAAAGTAATTCTTAAATAAATGTATTAGAACATTTTTCTTAGTATCTTATCATTTTTAGAGTGGATCAAAGTATTCTTTAGGGTCGGGGAAAAAAGTGAAAATTCTGTCTGGAAATCAGGGAAAACGAAGTTAAATTTTTGTGGCAACCCTGTGTCTTTGAAACGAAGGTTTTAAACTGAAAAGATTGTTTCAGTTTTTTCGATTTAGCGAAAAAAAAGTTGTTTTCGATGCTCAGTGTCGACGCTCTAACTTCAGGGACCTATGAAATTCATGGACTTTTTTTACTTTGTACGGCAAAAACTTTTTTTTAGGTGGGGGAAATGAATTGATAACCTACCAAGGAGTCGTGTCGATCGATGCATAGCTTGAAGGTCTAGGGAGCGTTGACTTTTGAGCATTTCCTTCTTTTGAGCCATTAAGTTGATAACCGATCCTCGCCTAATTGTGACGTTGCCAGTAGTTGACAAGTCCTTAATTTTTTTTACAGAAACTGATTAATCCCCAGTCATATTATTTTGATTTAAGGGATGTTGTTGGATGAAGGTGTACCTTGTCCCTGGCGAAACGAATCCTCACAACCTCAGCCAAAGCCACAATGACAGAAACGACAAGCATTATTGCGAGAATATGTACAGCAACGGGAATTGATTTATTTATTTGTGTATTATTTACATCCTTTTTCTTTGTCGTGGATAGAGTGGAGAGAATTTCGTTTGGTTTTTCATTTTTAATGTTTAAATCGACTGTTTGAATTTCTTCCGTTTTCTCCTCAAGGGGAACTTGAGGATTTTCTTTGATTTCCGGTTTTTCCGTACAGTTCTTGTCGTAGTTGGTAATGAATAGTGATTTCATCCAGAGCTCGTAGTTGAAGGGACAGACATTCATTTTTTTAAAATCTTTCACTTCCGGAGGTATTTCTTCTTTTTGGACAATTTGTTTTGTTTGTTCAGTAGTTTGAGAATTAATTTCTGTTGGTTCAGTGCCTTTGTAATTGGTGTTGAATAGGTATTTTAGGGGAAGAGATAGAAGGGCACAGAATATTATTAAAATCAGAAGGATGCTGGCGTTGATTCCAAGAGAAAGGCGTTTATCCATTTTGTTTATGACTAAAGTTCTGAATTTGATTTCATTTATGATTTACTGGATTTTGCTTTATTTTTTCTACATTTTCGTTTACTTCTTCTTTTTTTCTTCTAAATCAGAGAATTTAGAGTCACTGTGACTTTCATCCGACGGAATTGCACTACATCACTTTAAAAAAATGTGTTTTGAACTCCACAAATTTATTGGTACTGCTAATTTGTATCCTTTGATTTAGTCGGATTACTTAATCTCCACCCTTGTTTACGAGAAAAAATACTGCTGATAACTGTTGCCTTCATCTCAGGGCACTAGCGCTGAAACGAGAATATTGATTCGAAGCCACAAGTGCGCAAGTCATTTGGCCTGATGTTTTCTTTATTATATTCAATTATCAAAAAATTCAAGGTTGGATAGTTCATTAAATTGTAAAAATAATTAATTCGTTTAGTTTTTAAACTGAATTTATGAATCATGCAACTAATACCTATAATCATAACTGTATATTAAATTTTTAAGGAACATTTCAAACTCAAAATAAAATTTGTTTTAAAACAACCAAATTTTGGTTGAATCACCAGAATTAATGTACAAAATTAAACAGGGTTGTCACTGGTCAGGGAAATCAGGGAAAAGACAGGGATTTTTATTAAAAGTACTTGAAAAAATTAAATTTTTTGAATTTATAAGAAAATTCTGAAATTTTGAGTCTGAATTTTTTCCTCATAAACTATGAAATTGACAAGAATTCTAATACAAAAATTTAAATAAAATTCTTGTAAAAATTCTATTATTTAATGTTGACAAAATTCTTTACAAGATTTAGTTAATAAAATTGCAATTTTAATAAAATTTTCATATACAATTCAATTATTTTCAATACAATTCTTCTTAAGAATTCAATTATTTTCACAAATAATACATTTATTTATAGGATTCAATTATTTAAAAAAATTTGAATAAAATTCTTCGCAAGAAATCAATTACTTTCATAAATAATAAAATTTTTCTGGAGAATTCAATTATTTAAAAAAACTTTCATAAAATGCTTTATAAATTGGAAAAATTATAATAAAATTCATCATTGAATACAATTACTTTCGTAAAATATAACATTTTTCCTGGGAATACAATTATTATTGTCAAAAATGTTTGTAAAAATCTTCGAAACAATTCAATTATTTTCGTAAAAAATAAAATTCTTTGAAGCAATTTAATTATTTAAGAAATTTTAATAAAATATTTCGTCAGATTTCCATTATTTTTAATTTTTTCCATGGAATTCAATTATTTTAAAAATTTTTTTAAAAATTCGGAGAAATTCAATTATTTAAAAAAAATTTAAATAAAATTCTTCACAAGAATTTATCATAAAGAATAATATTTTTCTCCGGAATTTAATTATTTTCACAAATAAAATTCTTCACAGGAATTCAACTCTAAAAAAATGTTTAATAAAATTAGTTGCAAGAATTCAATTTTTTTCATAAATAACAAAAATTATCGCATAATTACAACTATTTTTAATACAATTTAAGATAAAATGATAGAAAATTGCATTTATTCTTAAATTTTTTTTTGAAATTCGCCGAAAGAATTCAATTACCTATTTTTAAAAATTTTTAAATTCTTCATAAAAATTTAATTTTAAGAAATATTCAATAAATTATTTATTTTTTTATTTAAATAATTGAATTCTCGAAAATGTTTTTAATAAAAATTGATTAAAAAATGAATTGTAGTTAGAATTTTAAAATATAATTGAATATTGAAAGCATAATAGCTTGAATTTTTAGAAATAATTGAATTTTGAAAAGGGTTCAACTTAAAATCTTTGAAATTCAATTATTTATAATAATTGAAATTAGAAAACTTTTATAAATTTCTTGGCAATAATTCCATTATTTTCATAAATAATTAAATTTTTCACAGAGATTCAATTATTTTCATAAATGATAAAATTGTTTTTAAGAATTCAATTATTTTTATAAATAATGAAACTAATCGCCGAAATTCAATTATTTTTAATTTAAATCAAATTCAAAATTTTAATAAAATTCTTTGCAAAAATTTCAATTATTTTCCTCAATTCTAGAATTATCAATATCTACTATTTTAAATAAAATTTTTCAAAACAATTCAATTATTTAAAAAAAGTTTTTATAAAATTCTAATAAACATTTAATTTTTTTCATAAAATAATAAAAATTTCACAAGAATTCAATTATTTAGAAATTTTTTATAAATTTCTTCTCAATAATTCAATTATTTTTATAAATAATAAAACTCATTGCAGAATTTCAATTATTTTGAATACAATTTTAATCAAATCACTCGAAAAATGTAATTATTCTTAAAAATTTTCTTAAAATTCATCAAAAGAATTCAATGATTTAAAAATATGTTGATAAAATTCTTTATAAGAATTGAATTTTAAGAAACATTTAATTATTCAATAAATTATTTATTTTTATATTTAAATAATTAAATTCTCGTGGAATTTTGTAATAAAAGTTAATTTAAAAATCAATAATTTTAGTTAAAATTTTAGTTATAATAATTGAATATTGAAAGCATTATAGCGGGGATTTTTAGAAAGGATTGAATTTTGAAAAGCTTTCAAATTAAAATCTTTGAAAATCTAAAGTTTTCATACTTTTAACTATAATAATTCTGTAGAATTAATTTTTTAAAAATATTTAAATTGAATTTTTTTGAAATAATTTCAAGGTTTTATTCTCTAATATATATTATTTAATTGAAGAATTTCCAAGTAATCGAAATTTCGTGTAAAATTGATTTGTAAAGAAAGAAATTTGAAAATTTTCGAAGAACTTTTTTTTTTTAAAATAAAAAAATATTTACCTATATTTATAAAAAGAAATATTAATTTTAGTTAAAAATTCTTAAAAAGAATAACATTGAATTGAAATAATGAAAATAATTTGGAAGATGTTATAGTAACAATATTCTTATAATATAAAATAATGATTTTATCACAGAGTAAGTAATGATTAATTTTTTCATTATAAAAAAAAGAATTTTTTAAAAATAAAATACAAATTGAAAATAGTAGCAAAATTATCGTTGTTTCGGATACATAAATTAACTCTTTTGAAACATAGAAATTTGCTATGTGATTATTTTTCTTCGACGCATTAAAATAGTCATAATTCTTTAAGAAAAAATATAACAACGTGTAATTAGTAAGTGGAGTTACTCTGAAACTTATAAAAAAATATTACTATGTCTGATAACTCGTACCTCTATAAATGACAAACTGCAGTTTTTGAGGCCTCGTAATTATCAATCGAGTGTAAGAAATTCAAACCTTTCTTCAGTGGACGCGTATTTGATTAATAAAGTAGTTTTAGTGAAAAATAAATTTTTATTGTTTTTCTCTGCACTTGTGAGGTATAAAAGTTTTAAACTGCAACAAAATTATACGCAGTAGTGTCAAAGAGTATAGAAGCGTATAATACACAATCCCAAAAAATTTTGAAAATTGAAGCACTGCAAAAAATATAGTTATAAAATGTCAACAATGTTGAAAATTTACTTGCTGTTATTTGCTGTAACATTTTTATTATTTCCTAATGAGAGTCGTGCTGAATGTTGCGGCAGAGGTGATATAATTGAAACTGATTGTGATCCTAATAATAAAACAAGCCTCAGGTGTGCTGTAAGAGTTTGCAAAGATGGTAAGAAAAGAGAAGGATACTATTGTGGTGTTGGACCATGTAATGCGATTGGATGTAACTGTGACGGTGGCTGTTTGACTAAAAAAAGCTGAGTCAGCATGAATATGGATAATTGTTACTATTTTATAAATTTTATTTGGAAATAGAAACAATGCAAAACAAAATGAAGTTTTAATGAGTATTTTACTTCCTCGCGGAGTAAGTTTTGTAGCCCTTTAAATTATAAGTTAATTGTTGATTTTCAAAAAGGTTTGAATTCGAATCTTTTGAAGAATTTTAATTCCTATGGACAAATTTTTTAAAACTTGAGACTCGAAAGGGTTATTAAAACTTGCTCTGTTCACTTAATATGTATGAGAAATTAATGAAAGATACCAATTTTCATATTATTTATTATATTTCGAAAAAATTAATTATTTAAAACAATGTTTATAAAATTCTTTTAAAATTAAAAAAATTTTTTTTTCTTAATTTTTTAATATTTACGGGCAAAGAGTCAAACTTCATGTCTTATAACAATTTTTTATAAGTTGTTTAATTTCGAAAAGGTTTAAATTTGAAAATTTTAAATAATAACGATTAAATATTTATTTAAAAAAGAAATTATTGATGTTTTCGAATAATTTTACTTTTGAAGAAATTTGTAAATAAATGTAATCGAATACTTTTTTGAGTATCTAATAATTTTAAGAGTGAATCAGAATATTCTTTAGGGTCAGGGAAAAAGTCAAAATCAGTCAGGAAAAAGCAGTCCTGGAAATTAAGGAAAAGTTAAGTTAAGTTAACCTGACCACCGAAACGTCGTCTATTTTATAAAAAAGTAAAAGAGTGTTTTTCTTTTACCTTTTATATACGTCTTCCAAAAATCGAAAAAATTAATTTATTAGTTAAGGAAAAAGAAAATTAAATTTTTGTTGCAACCCAAACTTTATAATTTAATAAACCTAAAGGTAAGGTTTTTGCAACATAGTAGAGTATGTGATTCAAAGTTAATTTTTTCTGAGTGCATTTCAACTTTAAATTTTAATTGAAGGAGAGTATGTGTACAGCCTTCTGTGAAATTATTACTTTAGAAGAATTTTTTCTGTATAAACAGTTCATTGGGATGAGACTTTAGCTCAACTGCTCATGCATAAATAATATTAGACAATATCAAATTAAAATTCGCATCTTTCTGCGGTGCAACAATGAATCTTGCAACAAAGGAAGTGCCCGCGGTGGCGGCGTTTATAAAAGCAATAAAACAATCGAACAATTCTTGTAGAATGGGTAGGGAAGAAAGAGGTAGTGACTGAAAATAAGAAAGAGGAGGATAAAACAAGTGCGGAGAAGGGATAGGAGATAAGAAGGCGACAGTGGAAAAGAAAGAGTAGGAGAGAGAGAGAGAGAGAGGAGAGAGAATATAGCGACCCAACCGACCGGTAGTCGGCCAAGTCCTGCTCTGCTTCAATTCTCAATCTTGACCCACCCTTTATATATGTAACAATACATATTTAAAAGTCCTCTTATGTATTTTGAACAGAAAATCGATCTTTACCGTCAAAAACTATTATTCGAGGTTTTCAGTGCTAAAAGTGCGAGTGCCTCCTACTTTCGGTAGATTAAAATTAAAATTTCAAGCAAAAAAGAGATTGAAAATATTTCTAGTAGCAAAAATGGTAAATTTCAGAAT